TACTGTTTACATTTTTTAAAAAAACCTCATCATACCCTAGTCTCCACTGATATCCAACGCTGGTTCCCAATATGCAGTGCTTTTGAACTTAGTTCTAACAAGTTAAATTGACTATATCAAAAGAAGGGCTTTTTCCTGTTTACTCAACAGTCCTGTAGGATGAACAATAATAATGTTAACAAATGGTTAAAAAATGTAAGAATACATCAGCAATATGAATAAAAATCAATTTTAAAATTGCTGTATTTAGAAAGCAACCACAATCTGAATCACTGAAATACAGTATAACCCTGAATAATGTGGATTTGCTGTAGTTATATTTACTCATGAGGTAACTGACGTTACAGAAGTTATACTCTAATTATTCCTTTTCTTCCTACTCTCCAGACTTACCAAACAACACAGTAATGACTGTTGCAAGTCAGAGATCAGACTCAGTCTTTTGTCACTCCACTTTATACCATAGGTAATAATTCAACAGCTTTAGCACCTCTTGGATTGCAACGAATATGACGCAAAGGCTGTTCTTGTCTAATACAGCCCACTCTTTCAACTTCTAGCCCCATTTAATGACTTGGTAAAGGAAAACTTCCTTGGGAAATAATATGAAGAACAGGAGCAACAAAAGATTATCTCACTCCAGCTAGAGCAGTCACTGTGTGGACTCGATTTGCCGCCGCCTGTTACGAAGTGGATTGATAGAAGATGGAAAAGAGCGGCAACGCAAGGGGGAGCTCTCCCCAGCACTGGCCTCACGGCAGATGCAGATGTGCACAGCATGCTTCCAGGTCTGCACAACCGCTGCCGCTCTCCTCAGCAAAAACAAACAGGGTGCCAGTTTCCTACTGGTAATGGTGCCACGCTGTCCATCCTGGGTGAAGAAGGTGTGGGGAAGACAGGGAGGTAAAACAGCACTGCGGGTTTCCCGCTGCCCACCTGTGGGCCATGCTGAGGGAGGGAGATGCTGGTTTTGTTCTCCCTGCTCATAAATGTTATGGCCTGTCTCCTGAGGCTGCTCAGGCCACATGTGGCAGGTGGGGAGGTCTTGGGGCAGTGTGGCACAGCTCACTGCGGCACCTTTCAAATGAAGGCTGTCTGCACTACCTGGAAGCTTGCGTTAATGAGCTCTGGATGGCTGACCATTATCCACTGATCAAAACCGAAACACACAAGCTCAACGAGACCAAAGAAACAGTTCAGTCCAGGGATAATTACAACTTCATTTAACTTGCGCCTACAGAAACTGTCAGCAAAGTTAATTAGTAGTTTGCTTCAATGGCAGCACACATATGATACACGCTTGTGTTACAGTCTCCCTCCTGCTTCTCTCCTTTCCCCCACTCCTACATCGAATACAGCGACTGGTATCAATTAGTCTTTCAGGAGAGGGCACAGGAAAGGATTCGTACTGGTTTCTCCTAATGCTGGTCCTCCAAGCTGGGCTGAAGCCATACCAGTGAGGCTCTGGGGATGAAGCAGCCCTGTTTTAGATGAGCTGAGAATTTCAGCCCCCAAAAGTTATCAAACGAGCTTCTATCTTTAAGAAGCATAAAAGGCACCTCAGTATACAGAAATAATGTGATGC